ACGATGGGATTAGTCTCTGGATTGTCTTTGGCCAATCACACTGACTCAGAGTCCTTTCTGGTGGCGCACACGTGGCTCAGTCAAGATGGATGCCAGCGAGGAGGATTCTGGGAGGTGGTCGGACACGTGGTGTCTCCTTTTGACCTTTCCCGAATTCTTCCAATTGGTGGCTTGTTAATTCCATGTTCCTTACTTGTCGTAAAATAACTCACAATAATGGTTACTATGGTTCCCAGACAGGATGGGTGTCAAGCAGTGTGTCTCCCCTGACATCAGCACAAGGACAGAGGCCAAGCCCAGAAAAATAGACCCTCACTAGGGTACCCAGGCAGGAATAAACCTCGACCTAAAACAGTTTACCTCAGATTGGGACTTGAATCCATGTGCTGGGTCTTGAACCCAGCCAGAACCTACAGTCTTCCAACTGGGATCACAGACCTGGTTTCAGGACCTAATGAAGCTGAGGTTCTAGATGTCTCATCACAGAGAGAATTCAGTGAGAGAAGTGGATTTATTTAGAGAGAAACACGCCCCACAGTCAGAGTGTGGGTCATTGCAGAGGATGAATACAGCCAATGAATGTGTAATCGTTGGCTTTTCTGGACTAGGTAATTTCATAGGCCATAAAACAATAGAATGGTCATAGGAAACACCCTCTTCCAACAACACAAGAGAAGACTCTACACATGGACATCATCAGATGGTCGATACTGAAATCAGATTGATTATAGTCTTTGCAGCCAAAGATAGAGAAGCTCTATACAGTCAAAAACAAGACTGGGAGCTGACTGTGGCTCAGATCATGAACTCCTTATTGACAGACTTAAATTGAAGAAAGTAGGGGAAACCACTAAACCATTCAAGTCTGACCTAAATCAAATCCATTATGACTATACAGTGGAAGTGAAAAATAGATTCAAGGGATTATATCTGATAGGCAGAGTGCCTGAAGAACTAAGGACGGAGGTTCGAGACATTGTACAGGAGGCAGTGATCAAGACCATCCCAAGAAAAAGAAATGCAAAAAAGCAAAATGGTTCCCTGAGGAGGCCTTACTAATAGCTGTGAAAAGCAGAGAAGTGAAAGGCAAAGGAGAAAAGGAAAGATATATCCATTTGAATGCAGAGTTCCAAAGAATAGCAAGAGAGGTAAGAAAGCCTTCCTCAGTGATCAATGTAAAGAAATAAAGGAAAATTCTATTTTGGAGGGGAAAGATTAGAGATCTCTTCAAGAAAATTAGAGCTACCAAGGGAACATGTCAAGCAAAGATGGGCACAATAAAGGACAGAAATGGTATGGACCTAACAGAAGCAGAAGATGGTAAGAAGAGGTGGTAAGAATATACAGAAGAACTATACAAAAAAGATCTTCATGACCCAGATATCCACGATGGTGTGATCACTCACCTAGAGCCAGACATCCTGGAATGAAAAATCAAGTGGGCCTTAGGAAGTTATCACTATGAACAAAGCTAGTGGAGGTGATGGAATTCCAGTTGAGCTATTTCAAATCCTAAAAGATGATGCTGTGAAAGTGTTGCTGTCAATATGTCAGCAGATTTGGAAAACTCAGCAGTGGCCACAGGACTGGAAAAGGTCAGTTTTCATTCCAATCCCAAAGAAGGGCAATGCCAAAGAATGTTCAAATGACCACACAATTGTACTCATCTCAAATTCTAGTAAAGTCATGCTCAAAATTCTCCAAGCTAGGCTTCAACAGTATGTGAACTGTGTACTTGAACTTGAACATCCAGATGTTCAAGCTGGATTTAGAAAAGGCAGAGGAACCAGAGATCAAATTGCCAATATCTGTTGGATCACAGAAAAAGCAAGAGAATTCCAGAAAACCTTCTGCTTTATTGATTATGCCAAAGCCTTTGACTGTGTGGATCACAACAAACTGTAAATAATTCTTCAAGACATGGGAATACCAGACCACCTGACCTGCCCCCTGAGAAATCTGTATGCAGGTCAAGAAGCAACAGTCAGAACTGGACATGGAACAACAGACTGGTTTGAAATTGGGAAAGGAGTATGCCAAAGCTGTATATTGTCACCCTGCTTATTTAACTTATATGCAGATTACATTGTGTGAAATGCCTGGCTGGATGAAGCACAAGCTGGAATCAAGATTTCAGGGAGAAATATCAGTAACCTCACATATGCAAATGACACCACCCTTATGGCAGAAAGTGAAGAACTAAAGAGCCTCTTGATGAAAGTGAAAGAGGAGAGTGGAAAAGTTGGCTTAAAACTCAACATTCAGAAAACAAAGGTCAAGGCATCTGGTCCCATCACTTCATGGCAAATAAATGCAGAAACAATGGATACGGTGCGAGACTTTATTTTGGGGGGCTCCAAAATCACTGCAGATGGTGACTACAGCCATGAAATGCTCCTTGAAAGAAAAGCTATGACCAGCCTAGACAACATATTAAAAAGCAGAGTTGGCAAACAATTGCTTTGCCGACAAAGATCTATCTTGTCAAAGCTATGGTTTTTCCAGTAGTCATGTATGGATGGTAGAGCTGGACCACAAACAGAGCTGAGCACTGAAGAATTGATGCTTTTGAATTGTGGTGTTGCAGAAGACTCTTCAGAGTCCCTTAGACTGCAAGGAGATCCAACCAGTCAATCCTAAAGGAAATCAGTCCTGAATATGCATTGGAAGGACTGATGCTGAAGTTTAAATTCCCATACTTTGGCCACCTGATGTGAAGAACTGACTTATTGGAAAAGACCCTGATGCTGGGCAAGATGAAGGCGGGAGGAGAAGGGGATGACAGAGGATGAGATGGTTTGATGGCATCACCGACTCGATGGACATGAAAATGAGCAAGGTCTGGGAGCTGGTTATGGACAGGGAACTGGCATGCTGCAGTCCATGGTGTCACAAAGAGTTGGACACAACTGAGCAACTGAACTGAATTGAATCTCATAGGCTAATGAGGGAGAGCATTATTCCAACTATTTGGGGGAAAGAGTAGAGATTTCCAGAACTGTGCCACCGCCCACTTTTTGGTCTTTTGACAGTGCCTTGGAACTGTCCTGGTGCCTCTGGGTGTGTCATTTAGCTGCTGATTGAGGATCAAGGTCTAGTAGAAGTTGATTTGTCTGGTGGTGAACCCGTTTGATTCTAATCAGCTTGTGTTGTGTCCTCGGGCTATATCATTCTTTCAAAAGTTGTGCCCTGCCCCTTTCCCTCCTGTTTCATACCCAAGACTCAGACACAAAAATAGCTCAAAGTGCATCACAGGCTTCGATGTAAAGGACAGATTTATGAATTGGACCTCATTGCAATAAAAACCTTGAGCTCCGTGAAAGACTCTGTGAGGAGGATCAAGAGGCAGGCTCCAGACAGGGGGATGTTTACAAACCACACATCTGACAAAGGACTAGCAACTGGAATAAAGAACTCTTAAAACTTGAGTCAACAAACAATCCAGCTAGAGAATAAGCAGGAAACAGGAGGGAATATTGAAAGGAAGAGGAAAAACAGATGGCATATAAACACACGAAAAGATGTTCAACATCAGCAGCTGTTCGGGAAATGCAAATCAAAACCTCCGTGAGCTAGCACTGCACACCTATCAGAACAGCTAAAAGAAAAATAGCAACACCATCAAATGCTGAAGCTGGGTTGCTTACACCTTGCTGGTGGGGTGGAAAATGATAGATACTCTAGAAAACAGTTTAGCACTGTCTTATAGAAGTAGGTATGCAGTTACCACAGGACCCAGCAACGGTCCGCTTGGGCATTTATCCCAGAAAAGTGAACATTTATATTCACATCAAAACCTATATATGAACTTCATAGCATCTTTACTTGTAACAGTCAGAAACTGGAAATAACAGATACCCTTCGAAGGGTGGAAAACCTGGAGCATCTGTATCATAGAGTACTATTTTTCAGGACACAAATAAGTGAGCTATTGATACACAAGTGATATTGAAACACAACTCCAGGGAACCATGCCAAGAGTAACAGCCAACCCCAAGTATTGTGTACTGTAAACTCTATTTATGTAACATTTTCCACAAGATGAAACCTCAGATCCTCTCTATTTATATTGTTACCTGCTAACTTTTATAGTAATTACATCCTTGCTTTTCTTCTTTACCATCTAACCAAACATTTCTAAACATTAGAGATTTTTTAAAACTTAATTCTGTTGGAATCATACATAGTATATTACATCATGTTTATCTATCACCCTCAGCAACAATGTGTTTTATAAGATGTATCTAAGATGTTCCTGGACCTACAGGTCTTTCATTTTCATTTACTATGTAATATTCCACTGAATAGTGTACCACAGTTTATGTCTTTTTCTTCTCTTCATGGACAACTGGATTGTTTGTCCATTGTAAGAAATGTTTTTGTGGGTGTCTCTTCTGGGTGAATATCAAGAAGTAGAGTTACTGGCTCTCAGTAACTCTCTTTAACTAGGCTCCCCTGGTGGCTTCGTGATAAAGAATCTGCCTGCCAGTGCAGGAGTCAGGGATTCAATCCCCAGTCCAGGAAGATCCCTCAAGCCAGGGAGCCACGAAGGCCATGTACCACAACTACTGAGCCTGTGCTCTAGCGCCTGGGAGCCGTAACTCCTGAAGTCCATGTGCTGCAAGTACTGAAACCTGAGCATCTTAGAGCCCGTGCTCTGAAATAAGAGAAGCCAGTGCAGTGAGAAGCCCGAGCACCACAACCAAGAGTAGCACCGCTTGCCACAACTAGAGAAAAGCCTGAGCAGCAATGAAGACCCAGAGCATCCAAAAATAAAAATAATTAATTTTTAGAAAGATCACCTTCAGTTTTCTAAAGCACTATACTAACTCATATCCAGTAACAGCTTTAAAAGTTCCAATTTGTCCACGTTTCAACAGTTGATGTGGTTTGTCTCTTTCATTTTAGCCATTCTGGTACATGTACAGTGGTATCTCATTGCAGTTTTAATTTGCATTTTTCTGCTATTAAGGAGGTGAATGTGATGGTTAATTTTGTGTGTCAAATCAGCTCGGTTGTTTGGTCAATTGAGCCTAGATTTTGCTATGAAGGTGTTTTTCAAATTTAATTAACATTTAAATCAGTGACTTTGAATAAAGCTGATTGCTCTTCATAATGTGGTGGGCCTCATCCAATCAGGACAAAAACTGAGGTTTCCAAGGAAGAGGGACTTTTGCCTCCAGACACCTTCAGACTCAAGACTGCAGGTCGAACTGCCCCCTGCACCCCTGGGGCTGCCAACAGCACATCAGCTCTCACCTGCCTTCTTCATTCTAACCATGGCTCTGGGGCAAGGTCAGCTCAGCAGGCCGTGCTTGCTGACCTGGAATTCAGTATCTGCTGGACATTAGCCTCACAAGTCTCGCCGGCGCCCTAAGAAGATTTAAAAATAGCTTATTCAGCTTTCAGAGATGTCCCAGGAGGAAAGATTGATCCAAGCTGTCTAATCTACATAAATGGAAAACCTCATGACCATTTTCGTAGTGACTCAGATGGTAAAGAATCTGCCTGGAATGCAGGAGATGCAGGTTTGATCCCTGAGTCGGGAAGATCGCCTAAAGGAGGAAATGGCAACCCATTCCAGTATGCTTGCCTGGGAAATCCTATGGGCAGAGGAGCCTGGTGGGCTACAGCCCACGTGGTTGCCTAGAGTAGGACACGACTGAGTGAGTAACACTTTCACTTTCAATGACCATTTTCATAGTCAGCAAATTTGTTTTACTTCTAGAATTCATGACTATGCTGTTATTGAATAGTCACATTCTGCTGTGAATTTAATGAGCTTTAAAAATGCATTTTATTTCATTGTGTGTAATAATTGCACATATATGTGAAAAATAGCTGTTTACATATACACAAGTTCTTGAGACACACACAGAATCAGGAACTACTCACAGTAATGGCCCTAAATTCTTTAGTACACATGTTAAATACATATTACTGAGTAAAGGAATTCAAGGAAAATGACTCTATTATATTGGTCAACCAACACTTATTAAGCACCTCTTCTCAGCTAGGCCCAGTGAGGGAACCATGGCCCATGTCCAGCTGTGGCTCATGTTCAACCACATGGGCTCCTGGGCCACACTCATTAGTGGGGTTTTCTCCACCCAGAGGAGGTGTCTTTGTGTAACCTGCATGAGGAATAAAAATGGCCCTAGCTAGGAGCTCCACAGATAAAGAAGGTGGAGTCTGTCCTCAGAATCTGCAGGCCTGGAGACCCACTTCCCACCCAGGGGCGGGTTGGAGCAGCAGCCTTCCTGAGTTAACAGATAACCAGGGACGGCTTACAATTAGTCATTTGTATGTAACTTCTGTTTTCTGAGTTACTCTATGAAATGTATTCACTTAAGAGGCTCTTTCTTTAAATTTTATTTACCTTGTTCATTTGTCTAACCGCTATTTTTTTTTTAGAATAGTTAATACCAGGGTAAACTTCACTACAGTTTGCCTTTGAATTGCAGCAAAGTCTCATGTTTGCATAAGAGCACACGAGTAGAGATGATGATTTCGTGACATGAACGGATTTCATAAGTACCCAGGCACAGTTACCCAGATATCGCTTGGCCAGGTGCTGGAAGACAGGCATCAAAGGATGGAATGAGTGAGCCCTTGATCCGGTTGAAAGGCTCTCGGGAGACCTAACATCATGCTGCAGTAGCTGGATGTCTTCCTGTTGTTACTGCTTCCCTGGGTTTACACTGCAACTATTCTGGGATAACTGGAAGGATACAGGCAGTCCCAAGCTGTCCCGCCATGGAGTGGAGGCAGGAGAGTGTTTGTGTCTCCACACAAATTGTTCCCTCATGAGCGGAAGGAATCAGAAGGGGTCCTTCCCCCAGTCCAGCTCCAGTAAGGACACTTCTGATGGAATTTTATATAATGGAAAAAATAGAATTATTTCACCCCTAAGTAAGTTAGTAAGGGGAGAGAAACCATGGGGTTATCTCTTATTATAGTTTAATTAGAATAGAATTGAAAAAATAAAATTAATGTAGCCAATTTTAAAGTAGAAAACAGTATTTATGAAATTGTCTTTCTCTGACTCATTCTGTTAAAATAAAATTTTTACAACATCACAGAACTGTAAGGTGGTAGAACCTAAACAAATTAAGGTTTATTGTTCAGGTCTTCCTCCTTTGAAGTCCTGCTTTGAAGTGTCTGTGGGGAGACGGGTGGGGGCAGGAGGAAAGAAGGTATTTGACTCCTGTCTGTTCAGCTCAGGTTTGGACATTTTTCATGCAACTCAGTCACCATGTGTGTCCAGGAAGCAAGCCTGTCGTGTTTTGATGAAAAGCACCCCAGAGTATTTCTGTCACATAAGAGGGTGGTTTCTTTTGTACAAGCAAATGACTCTACCAGAGTCTTCATTTGGGAAGGACTCGTGTGTTAGGAATGAGTGGGATTGGGGGCAGCTCCATGTGAGTTTTACCCCATACGTCCTGCCCCGTGAGCTGAGGGCAGGAGAGGGAGGACCCCTGCAGGAATCTGTGACGTGCACTGGGGTCTAAGGGCAGGGACGGCGGAGGGGCTGGGGGCAAAGGGGGCCTATTGACAAACACATGGAAAATCTGAGGGGTTTCCAGGGTGAAGAGGGCAGGGCAGGCCCGGGCGCAGGTGATGTCTGAAGTCCGTGATTAAGACAGAAAGGGCACCAGCTCTACGCTTTGTATCCAACAGGAACAACGTTTTGAAAGCCCTGAATCAGTTGATCCTCATTGTTCATCTTCACCATGAGGGCTAAGCCAGGAGCACAGGAACCCCAGGGAGGAAGGGCCTTCATGTCGAAGCTTGGGGCCTGTACAGAGAGTTTCCCACAAGTAGAGGCAACTAGACTTGGGCCGGGACATAGATGTGAGGGTCAAGGTCAAGTTCAGGGTGGGGAAGACGTCCCTCTCGGGGGATGGGGCCAAAGCAGAGAGATAGAAAGACTGTCAAGAGCAGGGAGACTCCCGCAGGGGGAGATGACTCTCCTTGACACATGACCCCTCATGAGGTCGGCCTGGATGCCTGAAAGCAGCACCTGTGGGTGTGATTGTGTTTCTGTTCTGTTTCCTTGGCCTGAAGGCCCTGGAGCTCTGACTACACAGTTACTTCCAGGGAGAGTGTGTTAACCTGAAAGACATTGTTCACAGCGAGTCCGTTATCTGGAACTGGGAATCTAAGCATCCTCCTCCCTCCAGCCCTCCCCCATCAGCAGGCCTGGGGTCCAGGCAAGAGGAGCACAGTTACAAGAAGTGAAGGCCAGGCGTCTTCTGGCCTCAGTCTGCCGGTCTGTGCAGTCATTCATGCCAGAAACCCACGGGGGTTTTGGTTTTGGTGGTTAGATCATGGATGATTTTTGTTTGTTTGTTTTTACTTTTTTTAATTTGTTTTGAATTGGGTGAAAATTTTACGAGCATATATAGCGTTTTATTTTCCAAGACAAAAGAAAGCAAAGGGATAGGCTATTTCCACTTGAACTTCTGGGAGAAGACAAACGTCACCCCCTTCACCATGGCCCCAGAGCCTGTCTTGACCATGGGCTGCTCTGAGCTGGGGTCTGAGGGCAGCAGCCAGAGTCCAGAAGGTTGATGAGGGGGTGGGGAACAGGAGGCACGCAGCCCCTCGCACCCTCCTGCCTGCCTTTCTCCTGCCGAGACCCCACCTGGACCGAGTCAGGCACAAGAGCAGCCAGGGGCCCACTGGGTGCCCCCTCTTTGGCTCTCTATGGTCCCCCCGACCCAGAGAAGCCCTACACCCTGTGATCCCCACAGCCATGCTGGTGCCTGATGGCCTGAGAAACCACTCAAGGTCAGGATCCGGGCCCTCCGTGACCTCTGACCTTTCCACGGCTCTCCCTGGGGCGAGAGGGGCCTTTTCCCACTGTTATTGCGGTTCCTGACGACCCCAGAGGGAAGGAAACACTTGGTCCACCAGATGCTCTGCTCTGCCCCCAGTCCCTGCATGGGCCCTGCCTCAGTCACCCCCAGGACCACTTGGTGTCCCGATTACAGCACCAACAAACCAACAGCTTCCCGGTCCAAATCAGGGCCCCTCCCCAACCCCGCAGTCTCACTGGCCACACACTGTCCATTCTAGCCAGGTGGACACAGGTCCTGGGTGGTGGGAGGGTGTCATTGTCACCGTCCCAGTCAGCTGATCCTACCCGCTGAAGTGCAATAGGATTTCCTAGGTCTCTGAGTGTATCTGCATAACTCAGATAAAAAGTAATTTGATAAAACATGCTCTGGATAACCGACTTTTTCCAAGTATTCAGGCAGTTAATTTTGTCTGTAAATAAAATCATTGTGGTGGAATATTTTTTCTCTCTGTTGCTAAACATGATGAATATATTTACTCTCCAGGGTTTAATCGTACCTTTGGCATTAGAATTAGGCTCAGACTGTCTCCCAAAAGAGGTGACTTGTGACATCTTGCAGATGTTACATTTAACCATCTTGGGCAATCGTGCGATGCTGTCCTGGAGCCTGGGTTCAGAGCAGCTGTGACTGCACAGAGTCAGGTCTTTGTCTGCATAACTGGTGGTCAAGCTGCAGCTGAGGCCCTTCTGAGCCGCACATTGACCCACCGGAACCAGGACCACACGTGCTGCCCTCAGGGTCAGGGAACCGAGGGCATCTACCAGCAGCCCCCAGTGTCTGCCCTTTTGAGACTGCTCATATTCCTTTTGCACACTTCTTTTAATTATCGTAGAAAGTGAATCAAGCTTTCGAGGACGAGGACCTCGGCAGCCTGCTGTTCCCTTGTCTGTGTGTGTCTGTGAAACTCCCCACAGCCGCCTCCCTTCAGCACCCACACCCTGTCTTGTCCCGTGGGTTCCCTCTGGGAGGATGGAGAGCGGATCAGGAGCCGGTTCACCTCACACACAACGCCTTCCTGTGTCTGGACCATGAAAACAGAGAAGCGGGTTAACGGACCTGAACAACTCCCCCGTTTCCTTTGGAAGAGATTGAATTACCAGGTCGGTGTCACGTTTCTCCTTTCTGGACCATCCACGGTTTCCCATCTGTCTCCTTTTTAAAGAATCGTCACGTTTAGCGTGTGAAATGTGCCCTTTGTGAATAAGATGGAGAAGAAAGAAAACCTCTTTTCCTGAAGGACCCAGAAGGCAAGAATTTCAAACAAAGGTGTTTTTAAGTGAAGGTTTCCTAGGAGACTGTGAGCTCATTATGGGATGGGTGGAGCCAGGGAGCTAGAGCAGTGCAGGGAGGCCGAGGGCAGAGTCCAGCCAACCTCGGCATCCTGTCCTTCCCTCGGCACCCCCACCACCATCCTCCAGGTTTGCTGAACATGCCTCTGGGAGGGGCACTTGGGTGTATTTTTAGGGTGTTTTCTCTATAGGGAGCTTGTCTGACATTGTCTGACAGCGAGTTTTCTCTGCTTGTGCTCTTTGGAGCCGCCCTTCCCACCCCTGGAGAAGCCCCCTTGGGTTTATGTGCAGAGGGACACACGGGATCTGAGGACAGAGAGGTGACGGAGGCCCTCTTCCTTTGATTTAAGAAGCTCCATGTGATCCGATTAAACTGGTTTTCATATTTATTTCCGTCAGTGTCACGGGACTCTCATTATGCAGGCTCTCAAGGGGCCCCTTGATTCTGAAAAATTGCCTCTCTTCTCTGTTGAGTGTTTATGGGACACGGAAATTTATGGAGGTTTTAAATAACATCTATGGATCATGCTGGCCAGGAAAACCTCCTCAGAACTTCAGCTTTTCCCTCGTTAGAGCTATTCTTCATTTGCTCAGGACTAACAGCAAAATCAAGAATGTGTGTGTGTGCGCGTGCGTGTGCACATGCACATGATTTGGGCCTGGGTGTCTGTGCAGCCACACGCCCCTGTGGCTCCCTGGCCCTTGAAAATGGCTGGTCGAAGCTGAGATATGCTGTAGGCATTAATCACCCACTGGATTTCAAAGACTAAGCATGAAAAAAATTATAAAATATCTCAGTGGTTTACAATTGCTTACATGTTGCAATAATATTTTGGATACACTGGGTTAAGTAAAATGTAGTATTAAATCATATAATTAAATCATTAAACATAGTATTAAAATCACTTTCCCCGTTTCTCTCTGCCTCCTCTCTGGCTCATGTTCTGTTACCTTTAGATAGCACTGCTGTGGGCAGTGCACGCAGGGCCTGAAACGAGGACTGTGAGGGGCTGTGTATCCTATGCTCCCTCTGTAGGCGGTTAATGCTTGACTGTAATGGTCACTTTGGATCTGGCGAGTCTTGTGGACTCAATGTTGTGTGTTAGCTAGATATTTTTAAGTGTTTTTTTTTTTTTAAGACAACAGAAATGTTTGCTATGAAGAATGTGGACGGAGCCTCTACGTTTGCTGCACGTTTAGGGCAGGTTCCAGGCACAGAGGAGGAATGACCAGGGATGACCCAGGGTGCAGCAGGGGAGGGTCCTCCGAGCCCGCCCCACCCTGGGTTTCTGCCGTGTGTCTGGTGCCCCGTGCCTTCCCGGCTTCCCCTGCAGGAGGCTGGGCCCCAACTACAAAGAGAGCCTCTGGCTGTGTGGCTCGGTAGGGTGCCTCACACAGAAGTCTCCAGCAGGTTGCCTGTGACCACCTCTGCTCCCCAGCTCAGTCTGCGCCCACCCCGCAGTCTGAGCCTGGGGGCTGTGTGCGCGTGGGGCCCTCTCTGCTCCTGACCCAGAGGATGTGGAGGAAGCCACGCTGCTCCTTATCTGCGTTTCTCTCCTGCCCTGAGCTGCTGAACCACCGGCAGTCTTGCGCCCCATCCTGGCTGTTTCCCCAGAAACCCCAGGCTCTGCTTTCTACTCTAGGTTTAAACCTCTCCTTCCCCCATCAAGGTCCTGAACGAACCCTCCATCAGACTCCTTACCCCACCTCTGTTCTCTCCCCAAGGGGGATTTCTCCACTTCCTCACGCCGGCTCAGACCCACTCTGGTCTCCACAGCCCACAGGAAAGTATGCGGAATGTTTGCTTTAGAATATTGTCTGAACATTTCTTGGCTCAAATCAATATTTGGTACATCAGCCTTAGAAATAATAACCCAAGAGGGAGAAGGATAAGCTATAGGAAAGAATGTGCTTTTCAAATACAAGGAAAAGGCAGCTGGTTGGGTCACCAGGGTCCCTCTGCTTTCATTACAATTGCTCAAGAAACTTCATGTTTGTGATATTTTACATTCTTTTGGGAGGGGAGGTGGTGCAGGGGCAACTGAAGTTTCTGGATTGCTTCTGGAGGATACAAGAAGGTGGAGAAAAACTCCAGGGGGAACTGGCTGAGGCCTGCTCCTGGTTATCCCCCATCATCGCAGGGTCAACAGGACCCCGCTGCTGGTCACCGGGCCTGGTCAGCATCCAGTCTAAACCACTTTCAGAGCCATTAGGTGGCCCCTCCATCTTTTTAAAAGGTCTGCAGTGCTTGTCAAACAATAAGTGCTTAACAAATGGTAATTGACTGTGTAAATAATTGAAGGAAGGTATGTGTTTATTCACCTCGGTTGGTTCAGCTTTGAAGTTTAATCGCTAACAGTAATCACAATATTGAACCATAATCACTAACATGGGTTTTCTGATGCTCCAGGAATCCTCCCAGTTTCCTGAGAAATGTCAGACAGTCCTTCAACCTTAAGTTTTACCAGGCTCCTCCATCCATGGGATTTTCCAGGCAAGAGTACTGGAGTGGACTGCCATTTCCTTCTCCAGGGGATCTTCCCAACCCAGGGATTAAACCCAGGTCTCCCACATTGCAGGCAGATGCTTTACCGTCTGAACCACCAGGGAAGCCCTAATAAAAATAAACAGAGATAGCATAATTTATAGAAAGAGGGGGCTGTCTTAGCGCTTTGAGCATGGGTTTGACATATTAAAATATTTATACTTTGGGGAAGTCACCATTTTTATTTTTTGGAGTAAATTTTGAGCATAGTCTGATTTTCTAAAGCAGCAAATTCATAGCTCTGAGTTTTCTCTGGGGCAAAAATGGCAAAACACAAAATGCCCCAAATGTATTTGAAAGGCTTGCCAATGCGCTCACCCAGCTTCCTCGTGGTTTGTGCCCTGGAGCAGCAAGGCTGGTCTGAGCCCCTCCCAGGGTGACCTCTGGCTGCACGGACACGAGGTGGGTCTGGCTGTCACCTGGTCACAGGGCCGGGCTCCCTGGGGAGCCACCCTGAGCTTTCAGCGGTGGTCCTCCAGCCTCTGGTCTGGCTGGACTGCTCTCCCAACGAGCAGAGGTCCCCTTGGTGCATATGGCACCTCATTTCACGCTCATCCCAAGCCCCAGAAAACGGAGGCAAACAAGCTCAGCTGGGTTTTCTCAGCCAGAACGTGCTGGTGTCTGGGACCTCGCACCCTCCCCACTGAGGCCCTGACCCCACAGGCACCCACTCCAGGCCCCCCACTCCTGAGGGTGCTCTGGCCTGGGTTCCCGGATGTTCTGCCCAAGAAGAACCCCGCACAGTGCAGTCCCCACTCAAGGGCATGTCCACTCAGATGGCTGTATGGAAGCAAAAACAGCCCCTGGGAGCTGCTATCTGTTTGGAGCCACGTAAGAGCTTCCAGCGGAGAAGGCACTGGCGACCCACTCCAGTACTCTTGCCTGGAAAATCCCATGGATGGAGGAGCCTGATAGGCTGCAGTCCATGGGGTCGCAAAGAGTCGGACACAACTGAGCAACTTCACTTTCACTTTTCACTTTCATTCATTGGAGAAGGAAATGGCAACCCACTCCAGTGTTCTTGCCTGGAGAATCCCAGGGACGGGGGAGCCTGGTGGGCTGCCGTCTATGGGGTTGCACAGAGTCCGACACGACTGACACGACTTAGCAGCAGCAGCATGAGCTTCCAGAGTGCTGGTGGAAATGTCCGCAGAGCCCGTCTGTGGGAGGCCAGGTCTGCGAGCCTGCCCTGTGAGGACACCACGAGGACCCGGCCTGGGCCCTGCTGGGGGCCAGCCCCACACTTCTTATCCTGGGCACACAGCGTGGTTGTGCTCTCTGACCAGCCAACGCACAAAGAGGGGACAGCGGTCCTCCCGGTCTCAGCTCCAGGGAGGGTTGGGCTGCCGGGAAGGCAGGCCTTACAGGCCTTCTGGGCCTCAGGCAGCCCTCGGCTCAGAACCTCCATCCTCAGCCCTCCACCTTGCCTGCCACCCTCTGCAACCTCCATGGGCCAGAACTGTCCCCCACCTCGAGTAGAAGACCCTCCCAGTCCTCGAAGTCCATCGTCTTCTCTTCTTGCTTTACTTGCTCCATCTGACATTTGAGATGCTTACTCTCTCCTGTCAAGTGCATGAGGATTTATGTATTCCAGTTACTGCTGGACCCCAGTGTCCAGCCTGGTGCCTGACATATAACGTATGCTAAATCCTTTCAGTCATGATTACATAAGTAAGTATTGCTGGGAGAATCCATTCGGAAAGCCGGGGCATGTGCTCAGGGCTGTTATTGACTCCTGGATTGCACAAACTCACCATTCTGCTTCGGGGCATCTGGGAGTCCCTGCCCAAGGGGTCACCCAGCACCCCACATTTTCTCTGAGTTCCAGGCCCCAAATGGCAGGGGTCTCAGACTTCTTTATTCTCAGGCCTGTCGTCACGCATGTGGGCTGTCCCCAGTGGGCCCCTCAGCCACCGCGTCTAGGTTCCTGGCAGGACCACCAGGGCAGGCCCCCCTTCCTTTAGCCCCAGGACTCCCCAAGGTGCTTGCTGAGTCTAGGGTCCTGCTGAGACCACCGGGACAGGCCCCCTTCTCTACCCCCCAGCCTCCCCAAGGTCTTTGCTTCCTTTCCTGCCTCTGCTCTTAATTGAGCTGATCTGTTATCAAACTTCAAAAGGCAGGAGGCGCCGTCCCTCCCTCCTGGGGGGCCTGGGCCTGACTCAGATTTCCCCAGTCCCAGCCTTGCGTCTTTGCTTAATTGAAGTATGATTTGCATAAAGTAAAAACATACAGATCTGAAACTTTCAGCTGGATGAGTTTGGACACATCCCTACACCTGTGTAGCCTCCACTCCGGTCAAGACCCCCCCAACCTCCGCCCCTCCTGTTCATATCAGCAGAGCCCAGTGAGGCTCATTCTAGAATGTCACACCCATGGGGTCTCCTGGAGGTGTTCTGAGTTTCAGTAGTCCCTTTTATTGCTGAGCAATGCTCTGTTGTACGT